CACTGTTCCCCAAGATCTCAAGATAGAGCGGAAAGTGTCCCATGATCACCCTGCATACATGCAGGCTTTGCACAATCGCAACCACACAATCGGGCCTTAGCAAATACTTTGGAGGACTTTTATCCTCACCCGGCTCAGATTAGAATCGTTGACCTACTGCGACCACTAATGCCAAACCTTGTCCTAACCTGCATCCTTAATCATGGCAATCAGCTGCACGGGTCACATTTCTATGATTCTATAATTACATTTCTGTGCACAACGATTACATTTCTGCCTGCAGTGAATGTGTTTTTACTCCCAGTGACGACGTTTCTATTTGCAGCGATGTAATTACATTTATACTTACTATTTGTACACACAGTTATGATGCTTTTACTATGAAGTTTCTACCTGTTGAGATGTATATTTCTGCCCCTGGTGATTATGTCCTTGCTGTTCTTGCTGGTGACGTTGTTTATCCCTCAGGATACTTTTTTCACAGATGCAGCCACACTGCGTCGAGTGTATTTTCACCTGGATGACTCATACTTACTGTAAGTCAAATCAAAATGCACACCCAGTGGTCTGGAAAAGAAGATCACATCCTGATTGTGGTGCATGCTGAGTGCATATGTAACGTGAGTTTTTTTCATTGCACAGATAAGACTCGTCTGTAGTTAGAATTTTTAACACAGTGTGTGGAGAGGGCAGCAGAGGGAGAGGTGGGAAAAGTCTACGACTTCACTAGGATTTGAAAACCAAGCCTGCAAGTATCTCAAGGTCAAAAGCAAGGAATGTAGTGCCGCCTCGTTGGTTGCAGGATCCTCTGCTACTGATAGAGAAGGACAGCTGGATTAATCTCTGTGTGTTTAAATACAAATTTGTATTTAAATCTGCAAATTGTCTTTGGTGTGCTTAACAAGACATCAATCTTAATCATAAGTTTGCTTATCTGCTGAGTGGATGTTGGGTAGCACAGTGACCTTTGTCTGGTTAGTCTGCCAGCGACAGCACAACATACGTGACCGGGAAGCCTGACTGTGACAGCGTCTGTGGCCCCGGGGGAGAGCATCACAGCCGGGGAGGAGCACTGAGCTAACAGCCTGTTCTCTGGTTCGACAGAGAGCTGCAGTGTAACTCAAGACGGAAATTTGTTGGTACTAGTTTTTGTAAGCTCTGATGTTATTTAGTTTTACAGAAAGAATAGATGATTGGATTTTGATATAAATATTGTCACAATATGACCGGTGATGTGGTTTTAAAGGGTTAAAAGGGCATTTTTCATTTCATCTTGACTGTAATGTGACAATTAGTGTAGAGAGATGAGGGAAGGAAAGGCATGCTTTCTGTGTAACTGTGTGATATTAAATATTTTAATTTTCCTAGGTCCCAGAGAAAGTTTGTCGAGTCTTGGTGCCTCTGTGTGACTTAATCATCTCACTCGGGGCCCTGTCTGAAAATGTTCAGCAGTACTTACATTGAAGCTCCATTTAGACAGTGGGTAGAAAATGTAAAAGGAGCGACTGCTGGTAGCGGTAAAGGCAGTGATCAATCTCTTGAGAGTAAACAACACAATTGCCTACTGAAAGGTATAAGGTCGGCTTTTACCAGAAAGGGTGCTGTGTTTTTATGAAATACACCTTCAAGGAAAGACTCACCGTGTTTAAAACAAGTATATACTGGTACATGCAACAACTAGCGCTGGTCCAAGAACACAGTGTACAGAAAGGGGTGAAATGCCGGTGCTTGAGTTTGCTGAATTGACTTGTGTTTGTTCTTCCAAACTTCTATAAACCTGCCTCATGTGCTCCTCCTACAAATATGTCTCCTTTGCCTTGTCTGGCTGTTACAAAATGTTATTTTTAAAGGCTGATCTGTTTCACACACTACTGATGACAGATCTGCAAAGATGCAAGCTGTGACTGCATTGCATTCTAATTGATTGAGGCTAGTAATCAGTATGTCTGCCTCTTCTTTGATGGATTTAGTCCTGTTTTTGTTTAAATTGGTCCTAAATATTGAGGTTCTCGCTCTTTCTGAGACTAATATCTAAAACTCGATGTTCACTGTTGGTCAATTTAAGCGTTTCCTGCTGTCAAACCATTGTAGCTGTGCTGACAATTGACTTGTTTTGCTCGTTGTCTATAATAAAACATCAAAGAACAAAAATGATCCATGAGAAGGCAATGTGAGGATGGATTTTACCAGCTTTTTCTTTTGTCACGCCTTCATTGTTACATGTCTGTTATATGTCTTTCTGCGTCTGTTATCTTTCATATTCAGCCGTAAACTGGGAGCAAGAATGCAGCTTTGCTCGGGGCTTAAAGTGAAAGAGATGTGCCGTTTGTTAACAGCAGGAGTAGTTCAAATTAACAATGGCAATGTGATTCCCTTGAGGGCCAAACACCCACAAGTCTGTCTACACTTGGCCTACATACTGCCCGTTACAGACTTCCCCACACCAGGCTTTCTCTCCTGCGCCGGTGCTGCAGGATCTTACTATCAATTCCTCCTGGGGATCCAGAAACAATGCCGCAGCGGTGCAGCAGCCATGTGATAGCTGGGTCTTCAGTCTATGAAGGCTACAGCACGTATGCGCGGTGAGGTCTGAACCGAAGGTGTTGCAAAGGCGCAACAACAAAAAACCTCCATCATCACACTGCACACACCCCCAGCTCGCGGGCCTGAGAGGAAGTCGCAGATGGTGAAATGAGGTGTAAAAACACACACACACGGCCCTCTAAAAGCAGAAAGGTCTTCTCTTCATAGAGGGTTAATGGGAAGAGATTGCAGGCTACATGAAAGGGGGAGTAACCTTATAAAGAGGGGTCAGAGGCATATATGAAGACTCGCAGACAGAAGATACGCAAGGGGAGGAAGAAGGGTAGATAAAGAGAAAGTAGAACAGCTCTTGAGAAAGACAAATTAGAAAAGGGGAAGTCATGTGAAGGGATAGGTTTTGTTTACTGCGTGAACCTTGAGAAACGGTACATAAATATTGATTTATTGAATATTGAAATATTGAATATTGATATCTCTGTACTCACTGTCTAATCACAAAGTCTCGCAAGAAAATATCTTTCATGGGTTCAAGCAACTGTGCGGTTAAATGATAGAACGTAACAGAACAGTAGCACATGAATAGAAGAGCTCTTAGATACACAACAACATCAAGTTTGCTAAACAAATTAGCGAACGCTTAGCCACTAAAAGCATCTGGTCATACCAGACCAAGTGAGGCAGTATAGCAGTAAAACCTGTGGGTGTGTCGAGTTAAGTAAGGGTGTAGTTCTCAAGAATCAAACTTTTCATTTGTAAGAGGAAGAATGTGTCATTTCTTCATTCATAAATCAAATAGTGTGGCTTTAAATGAACTTGAATAGACCATCTTTAGGTAATTATATTGGCAACAAGCACCATTTCATGATATGCCTGTTCTATTTAGTACACTACACATGCTGATGTTTACTCTAGGGGAGCAACTAACTATTATATTGAATTTGGATCCATGTGTCATACCCCGAGTACCCTGAGTTCAACCTAAGACAACTACCCTGAGACAACTTAACATTTTTAGTTTTGTTGACCAACTGACCAAAACCCTTAAGATATTCAACCTAAAGCTGTATTGAACAGAGAGATTTGAGAAGCTGGAACCAGAAAATGTTGATTTTCTGCTTAACCAATTGCCCTAGATCGATTCCTAAAGTTGCTGCCGATTACATCATCCTTTTCTGTGACTGTAATCTTTGTCTCACTGTACCAGACCGAACCCCACCCAGACCTGTGGGTTGCATGGGCGGGCCTATAGGAGACAGCACTATAGCATGTTTGAAAATGAAAGCAAATGGGCTCCATGTGTTTGCAACCTCATGCCTTCATTGTGAGAGGTTATTGAACGGGCCCACATAGATCAAAGTGGTCTCAGTGTGGTAACGGCAGCTCTGGGATTAGAGCAATACAGCAACAACCGCCTGCAAATAGTGCACCTTTGACTGCCCTTATGAGGGATGTCAAGGTCTGTACGTACATAAAGTTACAAAGTGTACAAGTATATGTTTTGTCCTCTGTGTTTTTGTTTGAGGTTCATCTAATGAGACAATTAAAGACAGGCAGTGGTCTGACAAGGAAAATGGCTTTATAATGGTGAGATGCTTCACCCATCTCACCAATCACGGAGACAAGCTGATGTTTGATGATATTGTGTTTTAATGAGTGTGTAAGTGGTCCACATCAAGCTCAGTGACTCTGCATAATGTGAATTTGAACTTGAACAATTTGTCAAACTCTTCCTTAGCCCCAGTTTAAAGCGTATGTTCTTCAAAAAAGCACATTAACTTTGTCAACCCTCATACAATGTGATTTTGTATATTTCCTTTGATCTTTGATTAGTCGAGTGACAGAAAATGTATATGAAACTATTTTCATAATCAATTAACCATTTCAGTTATATTCCAAACAAAAAATCACTGATTTAAGCTTCTAAGGATTTGAGTGATTTCTCTGTATTGAATTGAAAACTGAATTTATTTTGGGTTGGGCCTGCTGGTCAGTCAAAACAAGACCAAAGACGTCACCTTGGATGGACATCTTTTACACTTCTCTGTAATTTCATTGAGAAATTATTAATTATTCATGAAACTAATTGTTGGGTGCAGCCCTAAAAAAATGTATATTCCAACAGCAAGTCTTTAAAATAATCCTAAACCAGACTGGCTCCTATCAGACAATAAATCAAAGCTGTTGCTATCACCTCTGTCAGTTAGAAAGGACATGACAGAGAGGACAATATGTACCACTGGACACCTATCAATAGAAAATACAATAACCTCCACAGTTCTGATCAACTGGTGTCTTGTGTAAAGTCAGGAGATGGCCTTCACCTTCATCTCGAGGTGTTTAAACAATGAAGACACGTAAAGTGAGAAAAGTGAGTTTATGGTGACCTTGTTGGACCCTTTATCCCCTGTGATTGTCCTGTCACTGTAATATATTGCCTCGTGGCTGCAGTGTCTCACCTTTGAGCAGGGGCAGTGGGGTGAGCTCCACCTGGGAGCTCTGGTAGCGGAACTGGGACGAGCTGTGGGACCTCCTCTGCCGGGCTCTGCGCATCGACCTCCGCGGGAAGCCGTCCACCTTCTCCGCGGAAGGCACCGAGAAGCTGGTCGTCGGCGAGGACGGGCTGGTCGGAGGCAGCTTGGTCGTCTCCATGATGGCTGTAGATGGCGGTGGTGATGCGGTGGTAGTGGTGGTGGTGCGTGAGTGCGTGCCTTTGCGCGTGAGTGCGTAAAGGGGCCGCTTGAGAGGATGTACGGGTGGTGTGGGTGTTTTTTTCTGAATCACAGACGGATTATCAATTGATCAGAATGAATAGACGCTCTGGGGTGGAGGAGGAAGAGCAGGAGAGAGAGGGGAGGGGAGGTGGGGGGGAGATGAAGGGGGGAGAAGGTGCAGAGGCGGAGGAGAGGTGAGGAGAGAGATTTTCTGGATGTCCAGTCCCGTGCTGTGCGCCTCACTGTCTCTATCAGAGCCGGACAGGAAATGGCAGCGGCAGCATCAGCATCATCCCCAATTCTTCTGTTTATTTCACGCACAGATGAAAAAATCGCTTGTGTATCATCCCCGTGGAGGAGTAGCCTGTGCAGCTACCAGATGATGCTCAGACAGGCGCGTCTCCCCTTTCTCTCTCTCTCACACACACACACACGCGCGCCTCTCTGCTGCTGTATTGGCGTCACACACACACGGACTAAGTCATCGGCCTAAATTTGGAAATGTATTTCTAGAATTGAGCTCCTCGCGTAAAGAAACCACCGTGGTCAAACACAGATTAACCTCCTCCGGTTTATCCAGCTCAGAAACAAACAAACGGAACCCTGGTCAGTTTATAGCGTATTTTCCTCGAAGATGCTCCTTATCAATACGATCAGTGATCGGTCCTGGCGGTGGATGATGATATCATAAAATCATCAATCTGGGCCCACCTCGGCTGCCGCATCACTGTTGTCCTTCTCGCTCGTTTTTTTTAACGGACCCTCTTTCGACCGTTCAAACAGCCGCACCTGCTTATTTCTATTTATTTGTTTTCTCTCAGAGGTGGAAATTGTTGTTTTCGTCGCGGTTTAAACCCCTCCAAACAATCTCCTCCTCCTCCTCCTCCTCCTCCTCCTGCCGTCCTCCAACCGTATCAGGGCGGGGAAACAAACGCTCCCTCACCGCGCAGACATGTGCCGGTCCTCCGCCAGCGGCCGATGCAACGCCAAGCCCCGCTGCCGCGCTCCGTCTCTACCTCCGCGGTGAGAGAGAAAGAAAAACAGCAAAAATAAACCAAGAGCAGCCGCTCCTCCTGCAAAACCCGGAGTGAAGAAAAAGACTGAAGGCCTGTGTTATACAATAGCACCCCGTCTATGTCTGTCAGACTGACGCGTTTTGCTCCTGTCCCCCTTCTCGGTTCCCGTTATCCGGTCGTCCTACAGCGCCTCAACGCGCTGCGTCAAGAGGCACGCGGTGAGTCAGGAACACGCAGGAAATTAGGAATCAGAACTTTCAAAATAAAATAAGAGCTGGAGAAAACAAAAGCGTGTTGGTGACAAGAAATTGACTCATTGGTCCATTCCAATTGGTCTATTCTCAAAGAAAGTTACAATTAATAAACCCACCATTTGCTGTACAGTGAACTTGAGGCTTTTCGGTGCAGCTGGGAGTCACTTGGACTGTTGCCTGCCTTGCCCAGTTGGTAATCCAACCTAGGCTAGGCTAGGCTTAAAAAAAAGGGAGAAAACGGAAATATACAAGGATGTGAAACATTTGTCTTTAAATCGGATTCGCGGAGATCATCTTGCCCATTATCACCGTGTTATTTGTGCAAATCCAATACTCAAGTGTTGTTAACTTCTTTCCACCAACAGTGGATGTGAATTAAATGAAACATTAAGTGAGCATTGTGAGCTGAAGCATCCACAGGTATTTTTAATTTAATTTAATTTTAATTTTTAATTTAATTTTAATTTAATTTAATTTAATTTTTTTTTTTTTATTGAAGCATCCACAGGTATAGGGTAAATTAGGGAACTGATCGAAAACACACCTCTTTTTATATGAGAAGCTGGTTTGCAGATTGACATCAAAGAACGGAGGTGGAAAGTGTTGCTGTCAAAACTCCAATCTTTTTATTCAGGATGCCAGAAGGACCTCGTTTCTACACCAAAACACGTGGATGTAGAAATGCTGATAACTGAACAGATTGCACTGGAGGTCCTCAAGGCCGATTGTGCATCTTGCATTCAATCATTCACAGTTGGACCCGAAGGCATATATTTGAAGGGTCAAGCAAGACAAATGTATGCTTAATTATCATAGTGAGCTATAGATCATAGACTTAACCCTGAACAAATGCGCCCTTCAGTATTGACTGAGAAGGGTTCAAGGGGTCTCCTCGGACCTGATCAAATTACATTAGAACACCCTGATGAGTATTTAACTTAGTTAAGTGATAAAACACAGCAGGATCTTCAATGCATATCAGTCTCTCCAGAAGCGAGAAGCCGCAGAGTAAAGGTTTGATCAGTGCCACACTTTGCCATACTTGTGTAAATGAGCAAATGTCTTTGAGGCGCCTTAAAAAAGGTTTTATTTTGAAAGCAGTGACCGGATGCTAATTTATCTCGCTCCGACAGTCTTGCCGCTGGTTCCTCAGCCTAAAGCTGGTGCAAGGAGAGAGAGGAATGAGGCTCCTCAATGCGGATGACGCTATAGGATGAATTTATTTATTTATTTATGCATTTCCCTTTATTTATGTGGCCAGGGTCTGCCTCTTAAACCCGGTTCATTTTGAACAGATGCGTCATTAATGGCTCGCGCTCCTCTGCCGTCAATGCATCACCTCTGGCTGCGGTCTCATCCGGTTATGAAATACCCGCCCCCCCTTCTATTCTCCAGCATCATCAGTGTTTCTGTCTCTGACTCCCCCATTCCTCCCCTCCCTTTCCCCATTTTCCTCGCTTCCTATTTGAGGAGAGCGCGCGCGCACGTGTGCGTGTTGATTGCGCGTGTGCGCGGGGTTGTAGTTGGCTTATGGGTTGTAGTTGGCTTATGAGGATCAAGTCCCATCCATTGTTCTTGTCTTCACTAAGCCACTTGTTCTCTCCCTCACGCGCGCGCGCGCACACACGCACTGAAAAGCGCAATTATCCACGCGCCTTCATCTCCCTCTCAAAGTCACACCTTGGCTGGCTGTGGATGCGTTTTGCGTGTGTGTTTGCGCTGCCAGCCTTGAACCCTCCTTGGTGCTCTTCTCACCACAAACACACTCCAGCCTTATAATCTTATATTCAGTACAAGGGCGTGCGTAATACCTCGCGCCTGCGCTCCATTTTCCTCCTCCTCTTCCTCCTCCTCCGTGTTGTGTCGCAGATGAGCTCAGTCGGTTGCCTCCTGGGAAAAATACCAGGGGGAACCGGCAGTCCGGTAAGTGTCTGAGAGCGCTGCCTGTCGTTTGCCATCACCACTAGAGGCTGTTAATACTGCTCTGACATTTAGATACACTCTGGTTAACAGCACTCTATTATTGCATTGTACTCCATAACAACTGTGAGATAATTCATCAAACATCTTCTCAAGTCTGTATATTCAGTCTGGTAACACATGTCTACATTCTAATAATAGACTGTATAATCTAGACTAACCTCTGTGAGGCTGCACATATCACAGCAGAGCTTTGAGCAAAACATGTTGGCAAACATGTTCACAATGACAACGCTGACTAGTTTGACTAATAAAGCTGAGGCTTATGAGGGAGATGTGTAGCTTTAAAGCTATTTTTTCACACATCAAGTATTGGACATTTTCAAATTTGGACCCGATAAGGGGACTGGAGAAAAAGTCAAATGATCACCAAAGTTATTAAAATTCTTCTTGTGGGGAACATGAATGTTTGCGCCAAATGTCACAGCAATCCACCCTTCAGTTGTCAAGACATTTCCTCTGAAAGCACTTGCCAACCTGATGGTGGCACTAAAAAATCAGGGGATCACCCACGCCAAAATGATTTGTCCTCTGGGGACCGTGAATATCTGTACAATATATCATAACAATCCATCCAATAGGTGTTGGGATATTTCAATCTGAATAGAACATATTCCCAAAATCTGCAAATTCAGTGACAGTATCAGTTACAGCAACATCTATCTAAAGTTTGCTAATATAAGCCACCATAAGCAGTATATTGCTAGTATTATAAGCCAGTAGCAGCACTGATCAAGGTTGTGTTTTACTGCTAATTGATTCAACTTTTCATTAGTAAGAAGAGTAATGTCTTATTATATCTTTTAAAAGTTACGAAGCTTCACTTTAATTGTAGTTATATATTATATTAGAACATTGAAATAGCCTCTAGAACAGAATTGTAAATTGAGCCAAAGTTAAATAAAATGTTTCAATACATTTTTTTATTTGTAATTAACTTTTCTATTGAAACCACTATTACAGCATGAATATAATAATCTTATGCTTGTTAAATACAAAATAGTCCTAACAGTAATACACACACACACACACACACACACACACACAAAACCTCACACGGAATCATAGACTTCTGTGTGGAGCACACACACTCCTATACAGTGTAAATAAAGCAGAATAATCTACAAAAAACATCCTTTAAAAAAACAAAATCTTAATTTGAATACAATCATGGTGCGTAAGCCTATAGCTATAAGTCCTATTTAGAGAAAAATACAATATTCATTTATTATTCATTTATTTACAGCAGTACTTCCTATACAACAGGTTTGAGCAGCTCCATGTTCTCATGTTGTCAGTTACAGGGAGAGGAAATCAAATAGAAAGTTATTTCTCTCATTTGTCTCACTTGAAATGAACACGATAAGGGAATTATTAATTACTTGTTTTTATGATAGACCCACAAGGGTTAAGAGTGTTAGCGGCCACCGCGGCCACTAGTTGTCACATAAAGTGTCCTTGTAATCATGGGTGGATTAACCATTAGGGGGGCCTCAGGGCAGAAAAAAAAAAAGCCATGAGCACTTTTTAGCACACATATATTTGTGAATATTAACTTTGATACCGGTAGACACATAAATAATATAGCTACCCAAACTATTTGCAATTAATCAAATCCACAACCCTAAGGACACACATTCAATCTGGGGCCCCTGAGGGTAGCTGGACCTGGGCACTTGCCCACTTTGTCTGGTTGGTGATCCACCCTTGCAAGCAAAGCTGGTAAAATACCTAAAATAATAATTTATCATGTAGTAGCATAATTACAGCAAGTAGAAAAATTACAATTCTGTTACTTGAAGTGAAGAAGGAACTAGACAATAAATAATTGTAGCTTTAAAAACAAAGCAAAATCAACAATCAGCAAATTGACTGATAGCGGAAAAAACATGTGAGACGGTGTGTATTTTAAAAGCAGAAACAACAGAATGAAGTTTCCTGGCGTTGTCAGTACTCTTTGAGTTTGGCACTTTGTGTGTTCACACATGCGGTTCCAGTCACAGACGCAATTTCTCCTCATGACATTTCCTTAAAGTGGCAAGGAAGTGAGTACTCTACCAATCTAAAATTAAAAGCCAAAGTTTCAAATGTTGAGTCATTTTTGTGGTTTGGTCTCTAGATTAAGGAAGGGATAACACTGACCTACCTGATTTATTTGAAACTGAAAAACTGCACGTTGATGGTTTTATAGCATAGTTGGTTAAAGTTTCATCTACCAGAGCTTGTATTCTATGGATTCACACATAGCTCACTTATTGTACAGAGTTTTGGCCCGTTATCCGGCAAAGTTAGAGATTCAGTCTCTGAAACCTCAGCTAGGCGTTCAGGAGTCGTCTGCGCTCTTTGCCGTTATAAAAAGGAAATGTGAGGCTTCGAATTTAGAACAGGAAGCTTGCGTTACAAACCGGAGCTTGAAGGACACGGCCATTTAAAATCGTCTAACTAAAAGATGCTATAGGTTACATTGTGGGAAGTGTAGGATCCAGTGTTTTTGGAGCTTGATGCTGGGTTGTCTCTGCTTGTGCTGTATTGGCTTTGACCATTTTGTCTTTAATTTGGCCCTTGTGAGACCACCAACTTTACGGAAGTTCAATACGAAATCACAAGTGTCCCTTTAAGAAGCTGAAAGCTATTATGAGCAACATTTAAATTCATATACATCCCAACAGATGTAGAAATCCATCAGGTTGCATCTATCAGCTGGCGCTGTAGCTGCTCGGCAGAGTTTGATTGCTCAAAATGTATAAATATATAAATTAAACCACTATTTTGGTTCAAGGAAACTGGTCTTCCTTTGCTTCGTGACATGTAGTGCTACTGGTGACTAGTCACTTAGTATCCAATCATTGCCCTCCAGGAGCTCAGATAGGGAGAGATCTCTTGAGGTATCCTCGAACAGAGGCAGTGAGGGTGGGGGTTGCGGGACTGGTTCATCAAAGCTGCTGGAGGTAGTCTGAGACACATTAAGGGGACTCGGGACAGTGAGCATGGAAAGCAGAGACGGACAATTGTGCGTGACCTGTTGACTATAACTTGGCTTGAAGGCAAAAGCAGAGGCGGGAGGCGACAGTGAGAGGGACTGAGGAGAAGGATCCAGAAGAGTTGTCGGTAAAAGACAACACGGCAGACTTGAATTCACTGAATTTCTGCTCAACTGAGCAGGACGAAGCTGGCACACATTCATGGGACAACCGAGAGCCACGTTTTCAGCCGCCAAAGGGGAGTTGAGGGTAACTACATTAGAAGAAGCAAGAAAAGTAGCTTGCGTCATTAGAAATTCATCCAGTACAGCAGGACGAAGAGCAGAGAAGTGAGCGCTTGCTGACGTTGAAGAGCTCTCGTGGACGGCGCCTGACCTCGAGGGCGCTGAGCGCGAAACGAGGCTGGTGCAGAGAGGCGGAACATTTGTGGGCCTCAGTGTGATTAGAGAAGGGGGATCTACGCTAAACAAAGAGCGAGGAGTCGGGACAGCACAGAAAGACACAGAGTCAGGAGCTGTCGCAGAGCTGGAGGAGGTGAAGAGTTCAGCAGACGAGCCACGAGGCAAGTCTAATGTTGTGGTTGTCGGAGGAGTGGGAGTTAAAGATGAGAGACGTGCGCTTTCAACACAGTCACGGGTTTGGAAACCCAGGCCGGAGGTTAAGGAGGTAGAGAGTGAAGGGGCAGCAGCGAAAGCGGAGCATGAGGCCTGGGGAGGGACTCCAGGGGGGCTGGAGTTGGTCCGACAGCCAGCTGAGGAGGAAACCGAGGGGCGGGTTGTCGAGCTGGATGCGGAGTCTTTGACGCAGCAGAAAGGCTGGTGGCGCTCCAGAGCTGACGTATAGAGGTGGAGGTCTTTTTTCAATGCGGCGATCTCCTTTTTAATTGCCGAATTGGATCTCTCCAGACACTGGAGCTCCTAATGAGAAGAGGGTGACGGGGAAGACAGGGAAAAAAAGAAAGGGGGAGAAAAGAGTTAATGTCAGTTGAGTCATGTCTCTCTTTATTATCCCTAAGAGGGGCACTCATGGGCCATAAAAAAAAATGATTACAGACATGCATCAAAAGACATCCCACACAGTACAGCCAAGCAATACTCATCAAGACCCCCTTATTTAAGTCTCTTCTTGAGTGCTGTAATAGAAAGCACAACAGCCATGCAGTTGATGCTGCGCGGCCAAAGTCGGAACCTCGAAGGAGAACTGAAAACATTGCTCTTATGTGACAGGACTGCAAGTTCAGCATGACAGGAGGGATCTGCTGATTGATGCAGAGTAAGAAAAATTATGAGTCAAAATGTGGCTAGAAACCCTGAAAAGTGAAGCATTTCCTATTTAGTGTTTGCTCCTGGTTTATCAATCAACTAAACTCTCGCTTTTATGGCCTCATTAAGCCTCAGTGCAGCCTGAAAACATTATCCTCCATAGCAGCCAGTATTCATCTCCATTGAGCCCCAAATACTGCAAGTACAGACTCGAATAACAGAAGAACAGCGTCTCCCCTCAGAGAGATTACATTTCTACTTTCTACTACTGTGAAGGTCCCAGAGGTCACAGTCAAGGATGCGGCGCTATGGAGCTGTGCGTCACGTGCGCTGACCCTTTAAACTACTGCTGACACCCACTCTGTGTTTTCTATGAACCACACTGCTCGGTGGCAGCAATGCTTCTTCAAAATGAACCCGAAGGAGCAGAAGTGAAAGAGAAGAGAGAGAGAGAGAAAGCGAAAGTCTGGGCTCCTGACAACACAAAAGACACACGCCCATTCATAAAATTGGAGGAAAAAAACCACACACCTATCCAACCAGTTACAGCAGGTGCTGTTAGAGGAAAGGAAGGCCAACTGTAATCAGTGAGAAAAACAAAATGCACCCAACCAGGTGGTTAGGTGCAGCGCAGTGAACTACAGGTTTGATTTTCATATCATCATCAGGAGAGTCGTATAACACATTTTATGGGTGTGTGTATCGAGACGCATTCATGGAAAGTAATAAACCACATGTGACAGATTTATAAAAATTGGATTTTAATGTTTGCTATATACATCGAGAAACAAAACCTCCAGATCAGGCTAAAACTAAACCAACTAATTAAGATTTAAGATTGGATCGGTTAAAGGAATAGTATTCACTTGTCTTGCAGAGAGTTAGCTGAGAAGACCGATGCGACTCTCTTTACATCTGTACGGTAGTAGAATAAATCCTCTCTGCTAACGCTCGGCAGGGCAGCAAATAAGCGTAGTTTGCAAAACTTCTGGAGCTGCCAGCTACTTTCATTGGATTGGTGGAATCTAGCTTACTCTTGATAGCTTCTCAACATTACCAACGCCAGCTTTAATGTCATCATTGCTCTTCAACACAAATATTGACTCAAAACAAAACTTCATACCACCAAAAACACAGAGTACTAACTATCCTTTAACACCACATTTGTACAAAAAGTCCTAAAAAGAATCGCTTGCTTTTTTCAGAGGAATTACTTTTTTTTTTATATCAAAAGCATAATATGCATAAATAGTTTTCAATGAAGTTTTTTTTAAATCAAGAAGTTTTGATCAAGAAGTCCATGTGAAAGACAGCCTGTGGAATTTGTCCGTCAGGAAAAAAAAAACAGAGCGTCATGGGTGGAAAAACAGAGGCGGGAGTGTGTGTGTGCGTGTGTGTGTGTTTTAGAGGAAAGGGAGGGCCAATGGGGAGGGCATACCAGAGGGAGTGGAAGTCCTTCTCCTAAAGCAGAGTATTTACAAGAAATGGCTGAGCATGTTGTCAGATTACACAAGACACACGCACCACTAGTCACACAGCCTTTGGGTGCAATTGAAAGGGAGATAGAGAGTGAGAGAAAGGCTGATGGTGCAAGGACGGAACATAAGGAGTGAATATTTCTAACCTCATGAAGTTCGTCGGCTCTCTCCGTTTGTTTCCTGCGACTCTTCCTCGCAGCGTTCCTGTTCTTGTCTTGTCGTACTCTCCCTCTGCCTCGCATCTGTTGTCCGCCTTCTTCTCTCTCCTGTGAAGACGAATGCAACAGAAACAGTTCACCGCACTCGTAGGATTCAGTACTGCAAACACTGAGTCTGTGGGTGATTTGAGGTGCCTACTTCTCTTGTGGCATCCCCCACTGCCTTTTTAAGGAATCTTTTTTTTTAAGGCAGACATTTATAACTTTTTTATATTGCATTTATATTGTTTTAAAGATGTCATTGTCCACAAGGTCATGAGACAAACCTATCACATGAAATTACATGTGGTCTCCTAATTAAAAAGCAGGAAGTTGTTGCATGTGATGTTAAAATCAGAAGCAGGGCAAAACAACATTAAGCTTACGGAGCTTTCAAAGCTGCATCTACTTCTTCCATGTGTTTGACTCAAATGGACCCCAAAAGGAATGTGTATATTAAATGTGTATCCTGTTTATTAAATGGCAAGTCACCTGTGCTGAAAACCAGATTAAATTGCAATTATTTGGTATTTGACACTTTTGTCCAAAGCTACGCACAGTAAGTGCATGCAAACTCAACAGGAGCTGAATATCAAATTTGAGGTTCATCCCACTCAGCTAAACAACTAAAGGTGTATTAAGTACAACAGTACAGGAGACTTTTAAAAGTTTTTTATTTTTTTTTAAATCAGAGGAGCGCTTTATCTTTACTTTTAGTCAATTTCAAGAGAAAACATGCAGAAATAGTAAACCAGGCTAAAGCTAAGTGACAATTATCACCACCACAACATAATAACTGTTAACTATCCTAACAGCATCATGTATAACAAAGTAGAAAGGAACGCTAGTGTTTGAAACTTAAAATAAAATGCACTGTTTTGTCTTTTCAGAGCACTTTTAGCTGTTTGGATGGTTCATTTTTAAGTATTTTTGGACCATTGTTGCCTTTATTAGATAGTGGACAGTTGAGGAGAGACAGAGCGGGGATGATTTGCAATAAATATCACCATCTGGACTTGAACTGGGGACTTTGCAACCACAGCATATGATATGCCTCTTGAACCACAAGACCAGCAGACACCCTGTGATTGACATTCTTAAAAATACAAATAATTCCTATAATATTACTAATAACCTATTATACTGTATCTACGGTGCTCAATGGTGGGTTTTCATTGATTGTAGAGCTATTTGATCATTATAATACTCATAACTTTATTTTTAAAGAAGTTTTCAAAAATATGTTACAATGTGCTTTGAAAAAGACAAAAACAAACAATGCTTAAAACTAAGTGGAATCAAATGAATAACGTTGAATGGTTAGTTTGAGTAACTATTCTCATTTAGTCCCATATTACCGTTTTATTGCAGGCTAATATTTCTAAACTATTTACATGGTATATGTAGCTATAGGGATAATATACTTTATTTTAGCGCAGATATGATGTGGTTATTGTCTGTCATTGACTGATTGACAAACTTACCGATCCAGCGGTGTTGCTCCCCTCAGCTGACAGTGATCCGGGGCTGTTGAGCTCATACCCAGTTTCCATGAATAACGGGGACATCTCTCTCCCCCTGAGATGTCTGGCTAGCCGGTTGGGCGTTCACTGGAGTGTCCACCGGCAGGATGCACCTTCACCGAGCCCGGATCATCCGTGCTGCGCGCTCGCGTGTGAAACCACTGCCATTCAACCTCTTGGAGTTGATGCACAACCGGCGCGCGTCTTGCAGCTTGTGGGTGAACTTTGAGAGCCGGTTCTGTAAATGTGTACACCGCTGGTGCGTCTGATGTCTTTTTGAGCGCATGAAGTTTGGCATCGCACCGCCGATGATGCAACATGATGCTGCGACTTTCAGTTTCTCTTTATTTTAAACTGACCCGTTGCAAGGCAAGTGCTGCGTGGGATCGGTGCTGCCTTCACGTGTAGTGTGTTAATTCCAGTGTCCAGGTCTTTGCCGGTACAAGTGAGAAATGTAGCTTTTTTTCAAATGGCCTCCATTTTTTGTTTTTTTTAAGAAGAAGATAACAAAAATGAAGCATAATCAACCTAACAAATCCAAAATTTAGCAAGCTACTAATATTTTCCCCGCAGTGCAGTTACAGGTTCCTGTTTTTATTTATAGCCGACATTTCTCTGCTGATGTTTGTTTGGATTTAATAACTTACGTTCATGGATACTGTGTCAAATCTCCCCATAAAAGTAAGCCACATCTTTCCATTAGTATCAGAGTTAAGCTCCATTGTCGTATTATTTTCGATCGCACATGAACGCACCATTATAAATGGATGGGGAAAGATGTTGGGGGACAGGAAGAGCTCAGGGCTTAATGACCATATTATGAATGAGGTTGTACCTCCCTCATGTGCGGGGGATTTCTGGAGCGCTTATGTCAGGAAATGAATGGCCAAGCCTCCAGACGGCAGTCTGCAGGTTTTACCGCTTCTCTGCAGGATATGATGTAACTTAAAGTGCTACTGACCCTACATGGCTTACTCTCTCCTCGACGAAGTAAAACATAGCCCACACTAAAAGGTTTTACAAACATATGTATTGTGTTTACTTATTTCTTTGGCATTGAGTGAATTACTTTAACAGAGAATACATCCTTTATACATGTATTTCACAACTGTGATCATTTGGTATCACAGTTTGGTACGATGAACATGATTAGGCATAATATTCAGAGGTAAATATCATGTATCCATAAACCCCCATCCACAAAATATCTATCGAACATAAAAATGATATTCATAAATAAAAAGATAACTCCCATGTTTTTGTTGAAACCACCTCAATAAACTGAATACGGTACATTTCTAATTGTTTCCTGATGATTATTTAATTTATGTATAAGATTACTTCGAAGTCTTAACACTATTTTCTGATACAGTGAGTAAGTAAAATGATAAGATAGTATTGATGAGGAAACCCTGTGGCAAAGTAACTTTATATTTGAATTAGGAAGAATTGGAAAGGTTTTAGGTTGCAGGATGTTGGTGCACTGTTTCGTTCTGGAGGGAGCGAACAGATATTCTTATGAAGTAAATAACCAGTCGTTGCAACTTGATAATGAAGCTGATAATGATATACGGTTTATCTTGACTCCGCTGATGAATTCACACCCAGACTTGCTGCACTCTGTGACTTAAATTCACTTAAATCAATTGCCTTTTTTTGCAGTTGAAAGCTCTGGGAAAAGCCTTGTGTTGATATGGTTTTTCAAACTACTATTTCCATTTTCAAGAATTAACTTTTTACACTCTCTTGCCTGAATGTATGTTTTTTATTGTATTCGTGCACGTAGCTATTCAAGGATTCAGGGTTTCTATTATAGTCAATACAGGATTGCTGCACGACATGTAGTCACAAACACAAACACACGCGTGCGCACACACAAACTGTATAAACAGATATGCAAATGTTTTAAATTAGAATCGAAAATAAACTATTAAATAGTATTACAAGCAATACATAGTACATAGTATATATATACAAACACAAACATTTGCAATATGTGTAGTATCAGTGTATTGAATAATTGTGCAAATAGAAAAATGTAGTATTTTTGGAAATATAACAGTCTGTGTTCTTTATTTTGCCAACAAGCTTTGACAGTCCGAAAATTCCGAGATTGCTTAAGTAAAATGTGTAATTCCCACAACTGGCACACGGGGGCACCAAACTCAACCAAACCCGCAGCGTCACACCTTAAACCGCTCAACGACCAATGAACCAGCTTCGAACGTCTCCAACAACCAATCAACGGTCGCTCCTCACCAAACAGTCTACTTGGTGGCTGCGTGGGGCGGGACTAGCATTGCAGCCTCTTCCTGGTACGCCATGCTCTTTATGGACGCTAAATATCTTTCATACACAACTATAAATCGGTAAAAGTAGCCTATCTATCATAACTGCAGTTGAGCGCCACACCGTCGCGATGGGTTTGCTGACAATTTTAAAGAAGATGAAGCAGAAGGAGCGCGAGATGAGGCTGCTGATGTTGTATCCTGGTTGTAAGGCTTTACTAGCTTAGCATGAAACGAAAGTAGCATATAGGATATTTAAAAGTGAGATGTATGTGTGTGAGAGTGTTTCTTCTTTAACCTGGCTCGTGCAGAGGTCTGGACAACGCGGGTAAGACGACCATCCTGAAGAAGTTCAATGGAGAAGACGTCAGCACCATCTCCCCAACGCTGGGCTTCAACATCAAAACACTGGAGCACAGAGGGTAACGCACGCGCACACACACAGTATCTCATAGCTTAAATAACATAGAGAACATGACGCTTTATTTCTTCCACACAACAGACTTTGTACACTTGTTCTCAATGGGCAATTTTTATTGAAGACGTTTAGCTAACGGTCTCGTATGTGTGAATATTAAAATGAATGCTCTCTGTCATGTCTGATTTGGACACATTGTCTAAATGGCTGCTGTGAGAAAAGGCTATGGCTTGACCAGAGTTGCTTTGTGTTGTACTCAAATAACTGAGTCAAAATATATACTTGACTTACACACAGTAAGCCAGTTATAAAGTCAAATAAGCCCCACAGCCAACTGAATCAAACCTCAATAAGCAACCGTGGAGAAAAGAAGTTATTTTTAATCTTCTCTATTCTAATTGAACTCCCCATTCTTTCCCACATTCATGTATCTTCCCGAGCCAGGATCCATTATCAGGATGCAGTTTTCCAGTGTTCCTCATGTTCTCCTCTCTTTGTTTCTTTTAGGTTTAAACTGAATATTTGGGATGTGGGGGGTCAGAAGTCACTGCGCTCCTACTGGAGGAACTACTTTGAGAGCACAGATGGGCTAGTGTGGGTGGTGGACAGCGCAGACAGACTCAGACTGGAGGACTGCAGACAGGAGCTCAGTTCACTGCTGCGGGAGGAGGTACACACACACACACACACACATAAGTTTGGTGTAGTGGTCAATAGCAGGTCTTTTATTCTGGAGTCAGCCACAAAGACACTGCTAGGGATAACGGTGAAGAATCATCTTTTTATTCTTGCATTGTTTGAAGCAGAAATCCATGATTCTGTTTGATTATTCCATCAATCTGTGTATTGAGTCTGTCCTTCCCTCCATGCAGAGGTTAGCCGGTGCAACGCTGCTGGTGTTTGCCAACAAACAGGATTTACCAGGAGCCCTGTCCAAAGAGGCAATACGAGAGGTACGGTCTAGTCCCCCCTAGTTACTTTCTTACGTAATGATTATAATTTTATTTTCACTATTGCTGCTATAAATTCATGTCAGATTACGCACATCACAATGTGTCATTGTTTTCTTGTAGGCGCTGGCCCTGGATGGGATCAAAAGTCATCACTGGTGTATCATCGGCTGCAGCGCAGTCACAGGAGCCAACTTGTTGGCTGGAGTGGACTGGCTGTTAGACGATATCGCTGCAAGGATCTTCACCACTGACTGAGTGTTTGAGCGCAGACGACACTCCAGGCTCGTTGGACTACGCTGATCGGAAACGCATTTTCTTTTTGTCCCTTCAGCTGTTTGGGGGTCACCAGATATCAGTGCTACTGTCTGTATAACACTAAAAACCTGGTTTGTATATACATTTTATTTACAGTTTATGGAAAACAGAGCAAGAAAGTGTCAATGCGAACATTAATTTACACATGGCAACCTAAATGAAGTTTGTTTACAGTATGCAATGCGTGACCTTGAATAAAGATGTCTCATGACTGAAATCCACAGAATGTGGCAATTTCTGAAATACATCCTCAAACGTGTTAACTCATGAAAGTAGACTTCGTCATTTTAGCATTACAAAACTGGTCTTTAGAGCACATTTTAGCATGTGTATTTTGTACACCAAAGTCTAACTTCTAAAATGCTTTAATCTCAATGCCAGATTGTGTCCAGCATCACTGACTAAGAGCATACTTTGTTTCACTGTATTAACACTTGAAGTTACTTCAGAACCCAAATCTCTTGATAGTTGAACACCTCCAGTCTGGCATCAGCCATGTAGGTAGTTCAGGCACAGTGCATCATTCACATTCCTTCATAGTACCAACTTCTCAAATGTGAGATTTACAGGTTTAATATACTTCAGCTCACAACTGTTCAACTATATCACTTAACTCAATTATATTTTTCCATGTTGTGAATAATTAAGTGACTGAGAATCTGATGACTACTTGTAGAAGTTCTTAACTTCAGTTGTCTCTTGCATCCCGGGATATGAAACTACACTGTGCTTTAATGATTTTATTTGAAAATAATTTCCAGTTAGCTGGAAATACACATCCAAGTGAAGAAAGCATTGAACGGTCCACAGACAAAATAATGCATCATTCAAGGCACACAACTGTCCTGTTCAAACTACAG